AGCTTGCCACGCACCAAAATATGATTTCAATTCGCCTTTTTAAAAGAATAATTTAAATTACAGTCTTGTCACTATGACTGTAAAGTCACAGTGCTGTGCAGTGAACGCACGAGCAGTGTTGTAGAACAGCATAATAAGTTTGAACAGAACTAACAGCAGTTCACATGTGCTACGATCTGCTGCGGCAAACATCACCTTAGCGCCTTTGTATATTTTTTATATTTGATTTTGATACCCTGTCATGTCGAACGACGAAGGTGGCGTAGGTGTTGCGCGCGGCGGCGGCGATTCTGTAAAACAAGCCATCATAGAGGAACTACAGAATTTGCTGAGCTCGGACACAAGTGTTTTGCAACAGGCGGAAAAGCGTAACAAGCAATTGCAATACACAGAAGGTATGATGCATGCAAATTGGCGGGCAAAGCCGGGCGTTGTCTGCTTCATGCTAACGGCTTCGAATTGCAGGGTATGGCGTCTACTTATCGGAGATTATAATGAATCAGTCGCACGAGCTACCATTGCGTCAAATTGCCATTATAATGCTGACGCGATACGTGGAAAATCACTGGACAGATCTCGATGAGACGGACAAGGCAGGCGGACATATGGCCACCGAGCAGGCCAAACGCACAATACGCAACATATTGCCCAATGGCCTGTACGACCCCAACTCTAAGATACGCTCTTCGGTGGCACACACAATATCTACAATAGCTGCTACCGATTATCCGCACTGCTGGGCGGAGCTCTTTGACATAATTGTCAAGTGTCTGGGTGGCAATGAGGATTCCATACATGGAGCTATGCAAGTGCTGCAGGATTTTACATACGATGTGGAGCAAATCAAGGATCTTGGTCCGGTGGTCATACCCGAGGTGTATCGCATTTTTGACTCGGAGCAAAACTACTCAATTAAGACGCGCGTCTCCGCCATACGAACCCTGAAGCAGCTCTTTATGTCTATCTCGGCGCTGATAACTGACAAGCAGGAGCAGAGCTCCATGATGAGCTCCATACTTACGAACTTTATGGACAAGCTTGTACATTATCTGAGTATGAATTGCGGCGCTGGATCCAGCTTTTTGCTGCGCTCCGAAATCATTAAAGGTCTGTCGTCTGATAATAAACCCTCGACAGTTTATAATTTCCGTTTTAATTTGTAGTGTTCACCTATCTGGTAACCGATATGCCAAAATACATTAATCCTTTCATGGAGCGCATATTGCCAATTATCTGGCAGTTGCTAACACAAATTGCCGAAACCTACGTAAAGGTTTCAGTAAATCAGACGGAGGCAAATCCGTTGGCGAGTGGCGAAAACGAAGAAGATGACGAACAGACCAATTTCCAAACGCTGATCATACAAATCCTCGAGTTCATAAACTGCATTGTCACCTGCGGCAAACTGCGTGGCAGCATTAAGAATGTCCTTGCCGATTTAATCTACATAACCATCGTATACATACAGCTCAGTGAGGAGCAGTTGGAGGACTGGCAAGAGGACCCCGAGAAATTCGTTGACGACGAAGACGATGGCGGTGTCGAGCTAACTGTACGGATGTGTGGCCGTGATGTACTCCTGGTAAGTCTCACTGACATTAACTTTTTATACAAACTTTTTTCGTAATATCAAAAGGCAGAAAATGTATTGATTGCGTATCAGCTAGAAATGCTATATTAAAGTTGTACTGCTGTTTGTATATATCAATAACCGTCTGTCTGCTTTTAAGTTCAATCTATTAAACTTTAAAAGATGTCCACTTTAGTAAGCTTATTTTAATTTCCCTTTTGAAGGCTGTTCTTTTTTACTCAGATATGTATGTATGCATTTTAGACACCCCTTTGTTGATGGCCCTCTATGCTAAAAGAAAACATACGTGCATAGATTATATCCCTACATAAATTTTGATGTTTTTTGTAATAATTAAAAAAATACCCAAGAATGTATTTTTATTTATTATAATATATATTTCATACATATATTGCTACATATACATATATTATTTCAAAGTTATTGATTTATATATTTTATAGGTGTTTGTTGAAAGGGTTAGGTGATAAGTGCTATTTCTCCTCTGATATATTTCATACACAGGCCATAAATGACGAGTTTGGAGTGAAGGCCATTCAGCCGTTGCAGGAAGCACTGGGCCGACACTTTAGCGTGGCCGAGGCAGAGAAGGCCGCTAATAATCCGAATTGGTGGAAGATTCAAGAAGCCTGCATGGATGCTGTTCATGGATTTCGCGACATAATACTCGAGGGTGATTCAAAATTCGACTTGCTTAATTATCTGACAATCGTTCGCAATTTGCTAGTGCATCAGGAATCGCCCCATCTGGTCGGACGGGCACTCTGGACCCTGAGCACATACTCCAAGTCAGATTTGTACAATCCGCAAATGATAAGCGAAATTCTGGACGTAACACTGTGTAGTCTATCGCCGGATAAGTCGCACATATTACGCATCAGCGCCGTTCGCACCTTGCACGGCTTCCTGCAAGCCAACGAAGATGTCGAAGGGGAGAAACGTGCATTACTTGTCTCCAAGTTACCTGGTTTTTTAGACGGCATTATGACTCTTGTGCCCGGCTGCAAAGCCACTGTTTTGGCTCTTATAATGGAAGCTCTAACAATGATGGTCAAGTTTGATGCGGACTTTGCGTACGCGATGCACCCAAAGATCACACCCCTGACCATTGCAGCCTTCCTGAAATATGCTGAAGATCCGTTTGTTTTGGAGAACGTTCAAGATCTGATCAAGGCGCTCTGCCAGCACAAGCAGTGCCTGGGATCGCTGCAAGAGAAATTCATACCCACCATTGTTAGCATACTGGCGCTTCAGGGTGAACAATGCGCCGAGAAGCAGGATATTGCCCTGGATGTGCTAAACACAATTGTCAGGTACACGGAGCCGCCCCTGCCCAATGTCCTGCTGGAAACTGCATTTCCCGCGATGATCAACTGTGTGCTGCACACTGACGATCACACCGTAATGGTCGCTGGTGGGGAGTGCCTGCGCAGCTTCATCAATGTTTCACCGGAGCAGATCTGCAACTATAAGAATGGCGAGGGCGTCAACTATGTCATGCAGGTGGCAACTGTTTTGCTAAATCCCATGAATGCCGAGATGACAGCCGGTGGCCAAATTGGACGATTGGTCATCACCATCATCACCAAAATGGGCAGCATGCTGGGTCAAACGGTTGATATGCTGTTAAAGGCAGTCATTAGCAAGATGCAGAACCTCGAGTGCCTTAAGGTCATCATGAATTTGGTGCTCATATTCGCCCATCTGTTCCTTACCCAAATGGATGCTGTGCTAAACTTTCTGTCTACTGTGCCTGGACCCAATGGCGAGCCTGCATTGCAGTTTGTTCTGACTAATTGGCTGTCGCGACAGAACTCCTTCTTTGGTGCATACGAGCGCAAAGTATGTACATCTCTGTATAAACCACCTAGTATATTTATATGTATACATATATGTAACCACAGTTTAAAACAGACAGATTTATGTATACCTTTAATATTCAACAGGTCACAACGATGGCCCTCTGCAAGCTTTTCGAGTACGGCGTATCAACGCAAGACAATCGATTGACATCAATCACGTACAAGGAGCTAGTGGATGAGCCGAGCGGCGATCGCATTCGCACACGTTCAGTTGCGTCCTCATTTCAGAAATGGATTACAATTCCCGCACTTGTGAAGATATTTAAAGTGCTCATTTCCGAATATCAGCACTTCCAAGAAGGCAAGACGGATGCGCCGCTTACAGATTCCGAAGATGAAGTCACCGAAGAAGATGATGCTGCCGGCAATGCCGCCAAGCCACGCTACATCTCCGACCTGTGTTTCGATTTCGATGAGGACAATGTAGAGGATGAGCAAGTGCTGCAGGTGCTGCTCAAGGAGTGCAACTACACGGGCGACATTGGCGAGAATTTGCAAAAGTTTCTTGCTAACTTCACACAAAATGAACATTTTCCCACATTTTACGAACATCTTAATGAATCCGAGCGCCTTGTTCTGCTAGCCAAAGTGCAGCAAAAGTAATTTAAAGCGGCAGCCCCATCGACTATTAAATTTGAAAACATGTCTCACGGCTCATTGTGTTAATCGTTTATAATTAATTGTTATCAAGCAATTAATAAATAAAAACCTTTATATTTGTAACATACATCAGATTCATGATTTATAAAATTTTGTTGAACTTGGAACAAACATTTGCTTTAACTGAGAATTATGTTTATATAAAAATCTAAACTAGCTGGGCTGTTCGTCATTCTGACCTCAAAGTCAGCTAGAACAAAAAGTGGCCACACACATTTCTGTCTTTGAGTCAGGTCCAGGGCTTCGTTTTTGCTCAGGTCCGTAACTCGCTCACTTGATCGGATGCCAAGTGAGTTAGAGAGCCATATGCTCTGATTGATAAAACGGAATCGTTTTTTTTTTATTTCGCTCCCATTACAGGAAACTGCTATGGCTCAGTGCTTATAATGCTCTCATAAATTTCTGAAGTTCATTTAAATGTATGTATCTGCACAGCAACAATTCGCACAAATTGATTTTTTAGCAAATTTCAGTCGCATTTCTTCCCTTTTGGTGGGACAAGTAATATGAAATATGAAAGGGTTTGCCATGTCGATGCGAAATTGTTGCATTTTAGCTCGTTATTGTTGGTGAGGGTACCCAAGCAATGGCATAGACATCTTGTTGTTGCATTGTATGGTTAGTGGTAAAATGCGCAAGGCTGCAAAACTGGTTGCAGCCCGGAAAACAAATTTATTTTTTGCGTTGAACGTAAGCTCAAAGCAACCCAGTTGTATAAAATCAGCTAAACCGTAACCCAAACCAATTTTTTATTTAACTGGTTTGGCTAAAAATAACTACCGACCACATTTATGGCTTGCAGGACTGATACTTTATAAAATTTTTAAGACAATATGATTTTCTACCAAAAACGTTGGACGATTCGCCTAAATAGGAAACAAAGGAAATAAAAATTGGATTTATTTTGAAAAATTATATGGTGTATTATGTATGTATATATATTCAATATTATATTTGATTTTCATATCACGACCAACTAAAGAGCCACCTCATCGCTGCATAGCTTGTGCTGCAGCGGAAGTTCGACCTTGTAGACGTTCTAAAAAGTGAATATAAAATGAATTAATGCTTATAAAGATGGGTTTCTATACCCACCGTTGGCTGGTGTGAATCAAACCTAAAGTACTTTCGAATGCAAGGTGTGAGCAGTACAGGATCAACTTTGTTGGGATTGTTAGTGCCAAAAACTAGAGTGCTGAGCAGTGCAATGATTATAGTAACTGAGGCGCCCAACGTCGTATACCACATATATGATATCCGATACAATGGGAAAATATCCCTAAAATAGACCAAGCATAACAATTATTATGGTAATAATATCAATGAGGGTCAGGGAGGCTGCACTTACTCCGCTGATGGCCCATTCAGATGGGTGGCGTTGGTTGCGCTGGACACCAGAGCAGCTGCATCGAAGCTGTAGCTGCACTGTTCAACGTTTAATGGTTTGGTTTGATAGCGAATGGCGCCCGATGCGATGGCCCATTGTGCATTCAAGCTGACCCAAGACATTACAGCGACGCCCACGCAGCCGCCGAGCATTGCGCTCTAGGGAAATATCAAATTTCTTGAAAGGAGGCTAAGACATTGTGAAATATTTGAAACTCACATTGCCATTAATCCAGGGCATAATCAAGCCCATGGTGAAGATGCCAAAGAGTGGCCCATTTGTGATTGACTCTAGGCTCATGGTCAGCTGCAGCACAGTACCCATATGCTCCACAACATAAACTAGGGCCACGCAAAGCACTCCTATGCCCACTACAACCAGACGCATGATCCAATTGGTGGCCCGATTTGTTAGCGGCTTCTTAACATACGGCTTCACAAAGTCCTCCAATACCACAGCGGACATTGAGTTCAGACAGGTTGAGAGTGAGCTCAGGGCAGCGCTAAAGACGCCAGAAATAAATAGACCCGTCATTCCAGGCAGCTCGCCCAGCGTGTCCATGACAAAAAGCGGCAAAAGCTGATCCCGTGCCTTGGCCAGCTGTTGATGCAGTTAAATGGTATTCAAAATAAAAACCATTGACTGACTCATTTCATTCACATACCTTGGTAGTTAGTGGATCACAATTTTGATATGTAGCGTAGATGAGCAGTCCATTGTAGCCACACAAGGCCATCAGGATCAAGACTCCGGTACAAAAGATGACCAAAGCCTTGCGAGCATCCGCCAACGTGGGCAGCGATAGATAGCGCTGTATCATGTTCTGGGAGACCGCATTGGTCTGCGTCCAGTAGACAATGCCTCCAAAGAATAGGCACCATAATGTGTGACGCACTGTGGGATCAATGCTGAGGCTACAAGAGCAAGCGAAATACTTTAAAGTTTAACTGGAAACATTTGTGTACCCTCATTGAAATTATTATAGCTTGTCATGAAACTGTAACGCATAGAGGGAGTTCATTAATCTTGACAGCTAAGTCGGGTCTGACTTTTGCTTGACATTATAGGGAAAACTTGTGTGTTTTCAAGATGTCAGGACCGAACCCAGCAATTACACGCGTAACCATACAAGCGATATTGCTATTAGGGTATTAGCTGTTCGGCGTGCCGAAAATAGCCTTTCAACTCACTCGGGTGCCTCCAGTCTGTTCGAATGCCAAGCACGTTCCAATACCACACTGGCGCCGCCAATATCCAAGCTGCCCTTTATAGCGACCAGTGCTAGGGCGCCCAACATGGATACTGCCTGCACCACATCCGTCCACACGACGGCCTTAAGGCCGCCCATGCTTGTATAGAACACACAAATGATGCACACAATCGGCGTAATGGTGTGCACACCTATGCCCGTTACCTGGTTGAAGGCAAGTGCCGGCACATAGATCACAATGGGCAGATATGCTACCTATAGATAATAATTTAAATGAGACTTGGTTCATAATACTAGTTGAGTATTTGTACTGCTTACATTCATAATAGCGAACATTATGGAACCAAAGAGGCGCAGCCGGCGATCAAAGCGAACCTCCAAATACTATAAGAAAAGAGTATTTTCTTTGTGATTGTATAATTAATTATCCTAACTATATGTATATAAATATTTTCTTGATGTTAACTAAGCTGCTTAAAAATTCTTTCTTTTTCTTAATTGTTAGCAAACATTCAATCACTGGAAATATAGGAAAGCGTGCCCTAGACGAAACTGCACAGCTTGGATATACCCTGTACTGTAACAACCATTCGTAAAGACTTACTAAGCTTCTTAAAAAAATGCTAAATTAATTCCACAATCAATTGATTGAAGATGCAAGCTCAGGCCTTCATTTAAAAATTTGTTGTTTCAATTTTAGGAGGAACAGGGGAGGTTTTGTTTGAGATACGCATAATACTTGCCAAATTTTATATTCTAAGTCGTGAATAAAGACAGGGCTTTAAATCCTTCTACATTATTAAGTTGAAGTCTCTAACTTATCAAGTCCATGATATCAAGATGCATTTGTACTATACTTTTACCCATGCGAAGTAGAAATATTCAAAATTGTTGTAAAAGATTTTTGCGAAGTTTAATTAGACATACAATAAATAAGTAATTCCACGAAGGAATGCCTCAAAATCCTATATAGGATTGTTTACAACAATATTTTTAAACTGTAAAACTATCTTAAATTCTTTCACGTTCTTGACGTTCAGTTTAATGTGCTTACCTCATAGGTGGACGTAATGTTTAGATCATGAAAAACGGGCAAATAAAAGACTCCCATCACAATTCCCATGCCTATGACTCCGAGTGATACATATAGATACTGTATACCATACGAGTACACTTCGGTGGGCAGTCCAAGTAATGTAATGCCAGAAATAAAGCTGGCCACCAGTGAGAACGCAATGGGCACCACCAGCATTTTGCGTCCTCCTAGCATGTAATCATCCTCGGAGACGGATTTGTTCATGAAGCCAAAGTAGATGCCAATGCCAATGCAAAGTAGAAACATGGCCACAAACGCAACATAATCGGGCCATGAAAATCGCTGCAACACTCCCAGAACATCATCGATATTATTCATTTTCCAAGTTCCGATCAGGGGTTTTAGCTCTCTGCGGTCACAGCGTGGACTAAGGCGCGCTGCGTTTACATCTGTCTGTGACTCACTGAATCAGTGGGTTCCATTCGCTGTACTGGGCGCTAGTCGGCTCTGTGATTCAATCCAATTTCGCTCAATTGTCAATTGTCGGGCAATTTAGGTTTCGGGCGGCACACAAAATCCACACACATGGGTTTATTTTAGTTAATCAGTTGCCGTGTTTTACTTAGAGAGAATTGCGACACTTCAGCGTCCAGTTGCTACATATTCGTAGTTGTGACCTTACATATAAAGTGATTTTGGGGCCTGTCTATATCTGGATAAAATTGTTGACCCCCAAAACGCACAAGAAATTTGCATAATTTATATTTCTCGCATGCCAAACAATGATCAACTGCTAGTACTAAATTTATATTATTTATATTAAATTATGGAAAAGTTTTCATTTAATAAAGCAAATGGATGTGTGAGATAAGATGGCATGTCGTTCTACTAGCTATTTATTTTATATATCGTGTAAGAACTTGGGATGGATACCAATTTCCTACGTAATAAAAAGAAAAAAAATTATTTGGCACAAAAAATAGATAACCTCAGAGAAAAAAGGAATGCTGGGGTCAATCAATTTAATCGTAGCAAGTAAGTGTGCTCTCGTCCACAGTCCGACTAGAAGTTACCCTGTACCTAGCGCCGAGATGGCGTCACAAAATTTGAGAACTTTATTTAGAATACATCCACAACATCACACACACACACACCCCCACCGAAAGCTACTTTATGCAGCGGCACGGCCCCACAAAATGGAAAATGCATTTGCAGTAAACTTTGCTGATTATAGGCCGATAGGCCGATTGAATATGGAGTCCCAATATGTGTCTATAGCAAAGCCCAAGGTTAAAAAGGCGTTTTTTTTAATTTTTCTTGTCTACCTTCTTCTGCGTTATAGATAATAATTCTTATCTGAAAATGGATTCTTATCAATGATTTCAACGTATTTTACGCCGGAAACGCAAGAAGCGATAATGTGTTTTAATGATTTAAAATAAACTTAGGCTTAAAAACAGGTATGGCTAAATCGAATCGAATATTAATGCTGACCAAAAAGTTATTTTCTTTGTAGGGTCGAATATGCTTCATTTTACCTGCTCCATACATTAGCACAAAACTATTAAACCCTTATTACCCATTTGTAATGGGTAGAGGGTATAAAAATCAAATTATAACCTCTTTAGTATTATTGAAAAATGAACAACAGTGCTATTAATAAATCATTTTTAATTTGAATTCGATTAATATTTGAAGGAAGAAAAACATAATTAAGACTATATATTATTGATATTTTTAAACCAATAATGGTTTGGCAGTGTCGGGAACAATTTAATACATAATATCATTTAAACCTTACATTTTCAACCTTACAGAATCTACACAGTTAACAGAATTTACTTTCTTACTTAACGGAATTAATTTCCCAATCCCAAAAAAAAAAATGTATCGACAAATACATTCGGCATGCAATTTATCGACGACTTATCAGCTTGCCGCCACAAGCTCAACAGCGTTGCGGTGTACAAATTATAATTTGTTGTTTAAATTATTCAATCAATATATTAATTTTAAGTAATGTTAGCAAATCCTGCATCTGGCAGCGTGCCCGACAAGGCGTGGCAGCCTCCCTTCGTGACGCTGGAAACTACGTGAGTAATCGTAGACAATAAGTGGCAACATTTATGCTGCATGAATTCCTTTCCTTTCCTTTAGTATGGGCGAAATTACTGTAGAGCTGTACTGGAAACACGCACCAAATACTGTACGTACCCGATATGTGAACCACTTATTGATTAATTGTTAATGCTTTGCCATGGTTTTAGTGTTATAACTTTGCGGAGTTGTCCCGACGCGGCTACTATAACAACGTGGTGTTCCATCGCATTATACGAGATTTCATGATACAAGGCGGTGATCCCACAGGAACTGGCCGTGGTGGCACGTCTGTTTACGGCGGAGAGTTTGCGGACGAGCTGCATAGTGACCTAAAGCACACCGGTGCCGGTATTATGTCAATGGCCAACTCTGGCCCAGACACAAACGCCTCACAGTTCTTTATCACGCTGGCTCCCACTCAGTGGCTGGACAACAAGCACACAATTTTTGGACGCGTGTACACTGGAATGGAGGTAGTAAAACGGATTGGTATGGTGGAAACGGATAAGAATGATCGACCTGTAGATCCCTTACGAATTATTAAAGCCAAAGTAGAGAAACTGTAAACACAATAAAAAATTTGTAATAAATATTTAATAAGGACATTAAAATAATAAAAATGTTGATAACCGTCAACTAGTTATATCTACTGTGGTTATTTATATTAATTTAACTGTCTTGTAGCTCATTCTTAAGTATCCATGTGGCTGCGCGCATAGCAATAGCTGTTATAACAGTATTGGGATTGCCGGAGATGGGTCGGGGCAATACGCTAGCATCGACAACACGCACATTTGCAAGGCCATATAATCTGTAATTTGAATTAAACATAAATTTACGTGGCTTTTGTTCAACAATTTTAAAAAACCTTACCTAAGTTGAGAGTCGACAACGCTACCCAAAGCACAACTGCCGCCTGGATGATGTGATCCCAGACCTATGTGACGCATAAGACACTCCAGATAATTATCCGAGGGATGCTGTTTCACAAAATCTCTTTCAAATGGTCCGAAATTGGCGCATTCCTGCAGCTTGGGCCAATGAATCCGGGGCCTTAATTTTGCAAAAGCGGAGGATGTAACAACCTTTAAGAATATATATAGGTTTACACATTCAAAGGCTTGGAACTTTTAAACAACTTATTACCTTTACAGCGTTTCTTATGGCCGCAATGGTGCAGGCCACATCCTGCTTGTTGCTTAGATAGTTCGGATCAATAAGGGGATTTCTGCGCATAGACTTGTGCTGCAGTGCAACAAACCCTCTAGATTTGGGCTGTAAGCAGCTGGATATGAAAATAAAACCCTCCTGTGAAGCATTATGATAGCGTGGAAAAAGTGCACGAAATGCCGAACGCTTGAAGTTGGAAATAGACATGAAGGCACTTTCATCTATGGCGCCGGCGCCAAAGAACGTGATACCGAAGGGAGTCTGATCCTCATAGGCAGCAACATGCCCGAGCACTCCAAAGTTTCCGAAGGGTCCAGAGCCGGTACTTAAATAGTTAAACAGATTAATGGGACTAAGCAACGTGCGCTGGTTAAGAGTAGGTCCGATGGTGTCTATTGAGACAAATAGTGGCACATTAAAGTGATCGTGCAGGCCCTGACCAACCAGTGGCAAATGATGTTGCACTGGCAGACCCAGCTGGGTTAATTTTGTGCTGTCACCGATTCCGGAAGCCAAAAGCAGTTGCGGAGTTTGATAGGCGCCCGCACAGAGCAACAACTCACGTCGCACTTTAATATGGAACTCCAACTCCTTGCTGTGCTCATCTTTGACTCCTACCAGAACGGAGCTGGCTTTTTGAATGGATGTTGAAGACAGACTTATGCTTTTTACCAGTGCCTGGGGCAGTAGACGAAGTTTCACGCTGTTGAGTACAGGCAACAGGAATTGCTGCAGCACAGAGTGCCGCAGTCCATTCTTAATATTATAAACAGAGCGCCGAAAATGCCAGTGCTTATGCGAAAATTCTGCTTCAGATTCGTCCAGCGCTTGCGATAAGGTGGAGTAGCTACGTGGCACTTCAAAAATCTCCCCTGGCTTAGGCTTGGCAGCAGCCATAAAAGGACGTATGTCAGCCCAGCTCCAATCGCTTAGGTTGTGCAACTTGTGCCAGGCGTCAAAGTCAGGACCATGCCCATCAAAATGCAACATATAGTTTAGATTAGCCGATCCACCCAGGCCCTTGCCCCGTGGCAGACACTGACGTTGCTCGATTAAACCCTTTGACGAGTGCTTCTGGGGGACCGACAGAAAAGACCAGTCATTGATGCCCTTTTGTTGAAATGTTGTCAGTAGTGGAATTCGACTAAGGTAGCCAAATGAGCCGCCAGCCTCAATCAGCAACACGCTGCCATTGCTATGTTTCGTCAGTAGAGATGTAAGAGTGGAACCAGCTGTCCCGGCACCCACTAGAAAGTTCAAATTCCATATTCAATCTACTGGGCGTGTGAGACCACAACTTACCAATCACATAATCGAACTCAAACTCTCTATCCTCAAGAAACAACACATTGGATATATTTTCCCCAAGCAGTTTGCAAACAAGAATCAGCAAAGTCGAGAAGCAACCAATAACAACAGCGCCAACACAGATTATCTCTACAAGAAGAGTTTATTAAACAAAAAAACCAAATAAAAGTATCAATTTACTTTGAAAATGCATTCCCATATCGTGGCAGCGCTGATGAAATACAACTATCTAGTTAGGAAAAAGCACACACAAAGTAAACTTTCAACGACATAATCCAATTAAAGGCCCGCTGGCCGCACCTGAGAGGAAAATGCCAAAAATTTGAATACAAGCGCGGAAATTGCACCTTGTGCTGCTATATGTGCTATCGATAATTGATTGGGACACGTCACCATCTGTTGTTATACGTTCTATCGATAGGTCGGCTGGTATTTTTTGGCGGTCTAAAAATAACAAACATACAAGAATATTTCAAATGCGTAAATATCAAAAAACATGAACTTGAAATATTGGCCTTTGAAGACTTAAACTATAATAGCTCTGAAATTCAAAAAACAAATGTATCGTCAAATTGCGGCATAAGCATTTTGTGTGAATGTCAAAATGTTGCTTAAATGTGTTAATAGCAATCAAGCTGTTCAATGGTCATAATAGTTGTTGTTTTTGCTTGAATGTAATACATATTGAGCTGTTTATCGCTCGCCATTGTTATTGAGCACTCTAAGCAGCGCTTTATTGGATCTGCCCAACGCTGACTACGGTAATAATATGCAGGCGTCGCTTATCACTTGTTGTACCGCCAGTGAAATTCGCAGTTGCACCCTTAACAACAGCAGCAACAACAAGGGGACAGCTGTAAAGAAAACAAAAGTGGCTCGTCGTACAATAGGCAAATGTAATCAGCGAATGTCAGAGGCACTTAGAAGCTTAAAGTCGTCAGTCGCCAGTGTGCAATGAACTCCGCTTGACGCAAAGCCGTTAATACATTATATCAGCAAAACCAATCAACAGGTGTCCGAATCGAAAGATCCACAATGGCAATCCAGCAGCAGCAGCAGAAACAGGCACTGCAACAGCTTATAGACTTACTACCCAGCGAAGAGGAAAAAATTGTACAGGTAAAAATATGCATAACAAGATTTTATTCAGTATATGTATGTATTTTGCTTATAAGCTGGCCGAGTCAAGTGAATTTCGTTCATTTTTTATAAATACTATCTGGCAT